ACAGACACACACACACATACAGACACACACACAGACACAGACAGGTCACTTTTGAAAATCAAAGAAGTTTAAAACAAATCCCGCCCCTTTTCTTCACAGCAAGTGCCACCTCTCAGGTAAATAGGCCAGAGGCGGAGCCAGTAGAGGCAGGTCCCTCGCATGTCGCTTACATTCTGCCCGTTACCGAAGTCACAATTGAAAGCAGCGGTGGCGCTGCGCTGGACGCAGTCAGGTACGAAACCATGTGATGCGGTCAGGTACGATCCTGCAAGCTACAATGCCTGTGTGGATGATAGAAATGATGCTGTGTTTTCTCTGCAGCCCTTCGATGTCAGATTCTCCCGCCATCTCATACTCTCCCGAAGTGACATCATCAGAGAACAGACAGGAAGCTGTGGGGCCTGAGGAGGAGAGTTGCCTGTGAAGGTTTCACCTGCCTGAAAGGCAGGGTTTAAATAACCCATGCATCTCTGCAAAGGGGCTCCTGTGCCCTGAGTATGGACTGTAGGAGGTTGTGTAACCTTTTTACCTGCAAAGCTTGTTTAGGTTACAGAGTCATAGTGTGCTGAGTGTGCAGCAGGTCCTGATTCACATTTATAAACTTTAGTATCCTCATGTACTCTGACTTTTCTATCTGTATATCCAAACTGCTGGCCCGTGTCAGGACTGAAGCTCCCATTAAAATGTACTCGTGGATCAGACTGTTCTGATGCTTCCTCATGAGAAACACAACACACACACATATCAGGGTCAACAACAGTCAGCTCACCTCCAATGTTCAGGTGGAGGTTCAGGTGAAGCTAGCAGCTACAGCCACCTGTTTCACCATCCATATCAGTCACAGAGGCCACACCCCTAATAATGCCAAGTTCAATACAATTTCTGAACATGAAGCTGCTTTGGTATCTATATAGACCAGTTTGTGTATCAGGCTGTGGGCATGTTTATTTTAACATGGGAGTCTATGACTCACTGCTGCCTCTGCTGGACACCAGAGGCACTGCAGTTGTCATGATTTCTTATTTTTGGTTAGGTGCTGGTGGTGGAGAAGAATATTTGAGTTTTTAAGTTTAAACCAGATTCAGTTCAATTTTATTTATATAGAGCCAAATCACAACAGTCACTTCTTATAAGGTAGACCCTACAATAATACATGCAGAGGGGAGGTGACAAAGAGAAAAAAACTCTTAGTGTCAGCACATGAGGACAAGAAACCTGCAGCAGGTGGAGGAGGAGGTTCCCCCTGCAGGTGAGAGCTCAGTATAAAGGGACCTCAGAGCCCTGGAAGCCACGCATTTCTTCTGCTTCCTGTTGGAGAGCTGGAGGGCAGAAATGTGCTGAATGTCTGAAAATGTTTCCTGTGAAAAGAAGAATCGCTGTGACTCAGCTTCTTCCTCATTTATCCCGCAAAGTTAAAATATTGTGTCAGAAGGCAGCAGGCAAGGGCTTAAAGGACCTCCAGGTTACCGCTGTTTACTCCCTGAACTGTGAGAAAGCTCATTAAACCCAAGAAAACCTCCTAAGATCTTGATTGTCGTCACACCATGGATCCCCGAGCAGCTTCCAGGGTTTTTGCTCATTTTAGCAACCGCAGGTTTGAGGCTGACCACAGGAAGTCCCAGAATAATGACATTGTTTCACAGACAGTAACACAGACTCTGCCTTAATGAAACTAGACCTCAGGCCCTACGATGAGTCCACCTGTGGTCATGGAAACCAGCTGACAGGTACAGGTGTGCCACTCCCAGCAGGGCGCTGGTCCCCCAAACATGACAAAAACCACATTAATGTCAGATAGAGGTCAGCTGACCGCCTGACCTCACCACAGAGCCCGAGTCAACCACACCAACATACACACAGAGAGGGGAACCCATGGAAACAATAACCCCAAAGCAGATGGTTTGGTCCACCTGTTGAACCTTTACTCCAACCACCTCACACCACTCTTTGGTTCAAGCAGGAATTGCAGCATGCGACCTCTCAGTGACGTGGACGCCATCATTAATCTGCTGAAGGAGCGAACCACCACTGACCAACGAGCAGGGAGGAGCAAACGGGTGCACTGAGGCAGGTAAGAAATCATGTTAACCACAGAGGTGTGTGTTCAGCTAGACGTTGACCTCATCGTCTCCAAACATCATCATCATCATCATCGTTTATTTATATAGAACTTTAAAAACACACAAGGCTGACCAAAGTGCTGAACAATAGAAACATAATAGATACCATAAGAATAATAAATACGATAAAATAATAAACATAGTGAAAACAATAAAATATAAGTAAATACAAGTCAGTCAACCACTGAGTCAAAAGCCAGTGAATAAAAAAAAACCTAAAAATAAAAACCAGCACTGACGTCGATCGTCTAATGTGAAGAGGAAGATTATTCCAAAGGAGCCACGATAGAGAACGCTCGGTCTCCTCAGTTTCAGCCGTGATTTGGGGACTGAGAGCAACAGCTGCTCAGCCGACCGGAGCGAACGAGTGGGGACAAAGAGCTTCAGCAAATCAGACAGATACGCAGGTGCCAGACCATTTAAAGATTTAAAAACCAATAAAAGGAGTTTAAAATGAATCCTAAATTAAATTGGAAGCCAGTGCAGGGAGGCCAGAACCGGAGTAATGTGCTCAAATTTCCTTTTACCAGATAAAAACCGTGCTGCAGCATTCTGGACTAGTTGCAGGCGTGTCAGAGTGCCAACCCCTATTAAAAGGGAGTTGCAATAATCGAAGCGTGAGGTTATAAAAGCGTGGATAACAGTCTCCAAATCATGCCTTGAAAGAAAAGGTTTAACCTTCGACAGACGCCTGAGATGATAGAATGACGATTTCACCCCATTCACGTGGCCATCAAAGGTAAGTGCAGAGTCGATTTTTAACCCAAGATTGGTAATCGAGCTCTTCAGGTGAGGGGTCAGAGCAGCAAGGTCAACATCAGGGGTATCAGAGGAACGATTCGAGCCGAACAGAATTGCTTCCGTTTTACGTTCATTAAAATTTAAAAAGTTTTGAGCCATCCATGACTTAACATCACTGAGGCAATCAAGCAGGAGTCTAATTGGGGAGCTATCAGAACGACTGAAAGGAACATGAAGCTGGCAATCATCAGCATATAGATGAAATGGAAGACTTCCGGCTTGAGTGAACGCTGCCGCGCCTGGCTGCCACTACTCACCGGTACATTTTTCGATTATTTGGATTTATTTGGATTAACTGGATCATTTGGATTCAGATTTGAATGAACAGGGACATTCACACTCAGGACCAGATTGATCTCTGCCAGGGATTGATTTGCAACGCTTGTCCTCAACTTCTGTTATGTCAGCTGAATGTGTTCTCACATCTTCTTCTCAGTGAGCTGCACTAGCTTAACTGTTTGAGCTATTTTAGCCTACCTGTTTGTCGCCCCGGCTCGGCTCCTTTTCCTCCACATAATTGAAGATGTGGGCCAAGATGTTCCTGAGCTGGTCGGCACTATTTTGGATTCTCCTGACGCTCATCTACCATCCTATGGCTGGACTGCTCCGCTATACGCAGGTCCCGCAGGATTTTCCATAACTCCAATGGAACTAAATCGTTCTGGTCTGCTACTCGCCGCCCTCGCAGGAACCCTGATCGGGCTGTCAACCATCGATCTCTAGCCCACCTGCTCATGGCCCAAGAATAGATCCCCGTGGTACACCCCATGGCAGAGGGGCCACAGAGGACGATGATGAGCCCAACTTAACACAGAAGCTCCTGTTTGACAGATATGATTTTATCCACAGGAGTGCCAAGCCAGAAATGCCCACACAAAGCTGTAATCGAGAGATCAGCAGGTCGTGATCCACTGTGTCAAATGCACCAGTCATATCTAGTATAAGCACTACGTGTTTACCACAGTCTGTCGCTACCAGAATATCATTCATAACCTTTATGAGAGCTGTCTCTGTGCTATGAAACAGCTTAAAGCCAGACTGAAAAACTTCAAACATTTGAGAGTTGTTTAGATAATCCATCAGCTGAGTGTGAACAACCTTTTCCAAGGTCTTACTCAGAAAAGGAAGTTTAGAGATGAGTCTAAAGTTTGACATTACAGAAATATCTAAGCCTGGCTTATTAAGTAAGGGATGAATAACTGCAAGCTTAAACTCGCTTGGTACTTGACCTGACAAGAGGCTGGTATTGATTATGTTCAGAATATGTGGTCCAACAGTAGGAAACACTTTTTTTAGAAAACGGGGATGAGCGACATCATTCGGAGAACCACACGGGTTAGCAGTTAACACAAGCTTCTCGAGTTCAGGTAGAACAATTGGTTGAAAAGCAATAAGCAAATTTAAACAGGGAACATGCACAGCCGGGCCAACAGAAGATAAAGTGGAGGGTCTCAAACTGGCAACCTTATCCACAGAGAAATTAAGAAACGTATTACACATAACCTCAGAAGACTGCAGATCATCAGTCTGAGTGAACGCCAACATTCACACTGGGCGCCGAGCATGAACCCATGAATCAGCTCACTGTGACTCAGGTCGGGTCCTGCTGTGGACAGTTTTTGCTGTGGCTGGTTTTTCTGTGGACGGTTCTACTGTGGGTGGGTTCTGCTGTGGACGGCTCTTCTGTGGGTGGGTTCTGCTGTGGACGGTTCTTCTGTGGGTGGGTTCTGTGACAGGTTCTGTCTGCTCGGCTTGTTTCAGAAGCTTTTGTGTTTCATTTCCAGGCCGCTCGTTTCTGCAGCCCAAACCATTTGTCCCACACCGGGTGAGGATGCCGAGTCTCGCTGTTACCTGAGGGGTCACACTCCCTCCACCCGCTCGGTTTATTGTCAGTCCTCACATCTGATTGGTTATTTAAGCTGTGATAGAGAAAACTGATGTCTACCTGAAACTTTAGTGTTTTATGAACTCAGTCAGCTGCTTCAGGTGGAGCAGGAGGGGAGGAGTCAGTGGGATCACCTGGCACAGAGTCTGTTAAACAACTTCATCTAATCTCAGGATGAACAAAGTCAGAGTTTAATCTGAACTTGCGTCCTGGATCAGGATCCAGGTGGAAAGCTCTGTTTGTAGCCCAGAGGCAGAACTTCACCCTGGTTTCTATACTCAAAGGTGCATCACCATAGTAATTTATACTGCAAACATTACCTACTCCACACCAGATCAGGTCTGCAGCATCAGTTACCATGGTGATGGTCCAGGTAAGAAGTGAACCAATTTGATAGTACAGAAACCAGCTGAAGTTACCTGTGGATCAAATTTGGAGGACTGAGCCCCTCCTGTGATTGGATGCAAGGAGGAGGGGCGGGGCAGCTGAGTGCTCGGTGTTTCAGGAGGAAGTTGGACTCATTCAGTCAGACTCACTCTGACTTCAGCTCCAACAACACTGAGCGAGAGAGAGAGAGATGTGGCTCCACTGTGTGCTGCTTTTGATCGCCCTGAGCCGCTCTGCAGGAGGTAAGAAAACAAACATGTTTATGTTTACTCTTTGTTTACCAAAACAAACTATAAATAAACAACAGAAACAAGACTCTGAAACATTCAAAGTGATGAAAAGGAAAACCTGAAACTGGTCTCAGATCACAGTTACATTAGTAACATCACTTATTAATAATCAAATCAATAACGTCAGGAAGCTTGTTTGTTTAATCAAACATCGATCAGTAATGTTCAATGAACAAAACAAATATTTTATTAAAAATGTTTATGACACATTTAATCTTTTCATGACCTGAAATTAACATTTTACCCTTTAAAGCCCAGCGTATCGTAACTGATTCATGTGTTTTTGTGACTTTTGAGACTTCTACATCATCAGTGTGACTTTGTTTTACCTTCAAAAAATTATACATGGCACGTTTTTAATGACTAAATTGCAAAAATGTAGCAAATATGATACAATTGAAAATTCATTTATATACAAATTAAAGTTTGATATATTTTTATATATATTGTCTGAAAGTTCAACAAACACTCCTTTATCAAAAAACTAAAGACTTCTGGCAGTTATTTCATGGTTCAGGTTTTAAAAGATTAATTTTATTTTAAGATTTTTTTATGTTATTACAGCTTGGTAATGGTGTCATTAGTTTATTACATGTTTATTACATGATTTTCACACGTATATTATCCTTTTAGATAACACAGGAGCAACAGGAATGAAAATGGCTGATTTGTTGCTCAGATTGATGTTTTAATATTTCTCACTAATAAATATCTTGATGCATTCTCAATCATCCAGGAAAATAAATCTCCAAAAGTTGATTCTGTTCATCTGGACGTAGCGTTTTCATCCAAGTGACTTCTTCAGTCAGAAAACGCTACGTCCAGATGAACAGAATCAACTTTTGGAGTAACTAATAAATACTTTATAATTTTTCTGATGTTTTGTTTCTCTGAAAGAGAAAATATTTTAATATAATATCATACATGAAACACGTTTTGCTCTTTGTTTCGTGAACCTGCTGTAAAAAGTTTTTGATTTTGTTGACCAACTGCGTGGGTCATGTGACCTCAGGCTCTTATTGTTGTGGCTTTGAGCCATTCAGCAGCAGGAAACCAGGCGCTGCTTTCAGAGCGCTCGCAGGACAAAAGTTTGTGGACAGTTAAACTGCTGTTTGAACCACAGGAAGCAAATGTGCACAGCAGCGTCTGCACAGAGCTTCAGTCAGAACCGGGACCACTGGGTCACAGCTGGAACCACACGGCTGGAACAGCACGGCTGCTTTAATGTCTGATAGTTTCCTTTTTAAATGATGTCGTGGAATCAGACCCAGGTTATTGATAACGTGTCTGTGCAGCGGTGGTTAACGTACACGTGGGGGGGGTGGGGGGTCACAGTCCTCATTAGGAGGTCATGTTTAGTGCTTTTGTCCTCTGGATTCTGATTGGATCATTGTCAGCGCTTCTACCTGAAAACGGTGATTTCCATGAACATGATGCTTGGAGTGTTGTCAGCGTGGTCTGTAGTTCTGCTGAAAGTTGAAGTGATTTCTGTGTTTGTGTCTTCTTCACTTCCCTTGTATCTCTATCACAGTCTTGTTTGCTGCTTCGTTTTTGTAAAAATTTATAATTCAAGTTCTATAATTATTTTTTTAAATAAAGTTATAATGATCCAGCTGTTAGAATACCTGCTAATCAGTAACCTGCAGCCAAGTCCTCTGTTACTCACAACAGCCATGTTATTGGTCACATGATGTCATTAAAATGCTCCAGCAGCACAAACATGTTCAGAGGTCCTGCTCAGGTGAAGCTAGCAGACAGCCAGCAGCTGCAGTCACCTGTGTCACCATCCACCTGTCAGTCAAAGAGGCCACGCCCCTAATAATGCAAACTTTAAGTGAGTTGTAAAGCAGTAAGCACCGCCTTAAACCTGAAGAAGAAGTCTAGCGAGGTTGGAGGGTTTGCTGTGCTTCAGCAGCTGAAGGACACACACCCACAGTACCCACAGACACAGACAGCACAGGAACGTGGGAACAGGACCTCCATCCAGACCCTGAACTCCTCATGGCTGACAGGAGGAGCAGTCGCACCTGCCTACAGATGTTCAATCAATACATCAGTACATTAGTGATCAATAATCAGCTGCCTCTTCTTTAGACATTGAAGCAATTTCTGACTTTGCTTTATTATCAGCTGAATAAAGAAAAACAGAATTGTTAGTTTTAAACATGTTTCTTTCTCTAATAAATGCTGTAGAGTAAAGCAGACCCCTCACGTGCTCACCTGTGCCGAGCAGACACCTGTCTTTCACGCTGGTACAAGCCTGAGCGTTTACCCACAATGCACTTTGTGCATTATGAGACAGATCAAACGTGTTTGTGCTCCTTCACATCATGGATGTTAAACAGAGCCTCACACAGCCTCCTACAGTAGGGTTAAACTGACCTGGAGTCAGCACAGAAAGCTGATTCTGTCCATCTGAATGTTTTCAGTTTGAGAAACATTTCATCATCATCAGGTGACTTCTTCAGTCTCAGCTGTCTGCAGGTTTCCAACCTTTTAAACAGGACATTTGTTTGACTGAAACCAGTAGCACTGTTGGACAATGGCCAAACAACCTTGGCTGATTGTGACCTACACTTACTTTCACACCTTGACCTGTGCAATTAGGTAGAGGATCAACAGGGGATTCATGACACCCTTGGGGGACACTCCTCTAGGACTTAAATCTGGGACTCTCGGCCATTTGACCTTACAACTGAACAAGCTTCTTGGATGACAAGTCTTCAAGAAACTTAAAGAAGTCCAGACATTTTTCTTTCCAAGCTCCCTAAACTACGATGACCTGGATGACTGAGAACCTTCACAGACAACAATGGGCTGTATTACTCCTTGATTTGATGTTCTTCTGCCTTCCCTGGCTGCTGTGTCAGTGGGGATGGTGTTCGCTC